TTTTCATTATTGTAGTAATAAAGAATGGAATTTCTCCAACGTCAGTGTTATTTAATTGAAGTTTTAATCTTTGTAGGCCCTTAAAGGAATAAATTCGGCACCGAGAACTATAGAAACCGAAAGTACTTTTAGTTTACTAAATCTTACTGACTTGCTTTATAAATTTGATATTTGTCAAGTGTTCATTTGAAATCTGCAGGAGTATTCAGTAAAGTAAAAGTTGTAGTGCATAATTCCCAGACTTGTTGTAGTCATTGGTACCGCCAGGATACCGCTTGCTCGTTTAATGAAGCCGAAATATCCAATTCTCGCTTTACTGAGGAAACGCTATTTTGCCTGCAAAAGTAGTGCGTCAGTTTATGAGTTTCACAAAGCCTACAGAATGTTTTCTATTCAGTAATTACTGTTTGCGAATTATCCGAGAAAACACATTTCCGAGTGGGATTTAAAACAAGGCTGAATTCTTAAACTGTCATCCTTATATCAGTTCAATTCAATCACACATAGGGAAATTTATGATCGAGTACAGGTTTCCGCCAACCTGCAAAGAAATTTATCGAATAACAGTCGTCGAAATATACCCGAAGCTTACTCGGTATGCCAAATAATCATTGCATGATCCATGTATTTAAGCGTCCTGTCACACGAGCAACCAGTAAATGCTCAAGAACAGTATAGAACAAAAATTTTTAAGTAAATTCACCCAACAACAGCGAAATAAGCACCGAAATCGCGTCTATAGAGTTTGCCTGGACGACTAGCTCCAACTCGAACCAACGAAACCGCGCAAATGCAGTCAAGGTTAAGCCAAAGGCGCCACTTCAAATAGGGGATATGTCTTATCAACGCCCCTTTCACTTGTATCACAGGAGTGAGATCTGCACTCAAACCATTTTGAGAGCTAGTAGTTGATACTGCATTACCGGGAGGTAATGCAGTTATAACCGAATTTGAGGCACTATCTAAAACAGTTGTGTTTCTACGAACACGTTTTTTAGAGATTTGGACCATAATTTCAAGAATTATATGACAATGAGAAGTAAATGAATTTCAGAGCAGACACGTGCAAAAATGTCACCAACTTCGAACGTACCGCCAGATAGTACCTACGGTATGACAGGGTGAGGAGATTTAAACTGTCTAGTCTTTCCTCGTATGACAAGTTAGTCATGCCGAGAACCATGCGTGCTGCCTTCCTTTGGAACCTGTCCAGAATGTGTGGGTCCCCTTTAAGACAAGGACTAGCTGCTTGGATACAGTTTTCCGGCCTTGACCTTACCAGGGCTCTATATAAGGATGTGAACATATCTTTAGTGATTCTACTAAAGGCTCTGCGAATCGCCCTTAAGGGCCTGAAGCTGCTTGCAGCCACCACGCGACAGTGAGCTGTAGTTTCTAAATCGTGGCTAACTATGCACCTAAGTCCGAGCGAGTCTGAGCTGATAGAAGTGTTAATCCCTCTAGTTCGTAGGAGCTCGTGCTTGCTTGTCCGATGCGCATGGTTGCACATTTTGCTACATTGATCCGCAGCATCCATTCTCTGGACCACTCTGACAATTTGCTGAGGTCCTCTTTCAGCGTGAACGTGTCACTGTAGCCCTTCACCTCTCCCCAGATATTTAAGTCATGCGCGTATAAGACCGTTAGGGAATCAGTGAGCTGAGATAACTCATTGATATATAAAATAAATAGGAGAGGTCTCAGTGCCGTGCCCTGTGGCACTCCGCTACGCACTGCCGTCCAAGAGGAGAGTTACGAGTTGATTCCAACCCTCTGCCTCCTATCTATGAGGAATTCCATGATCCAGTTTAGCAATCTGCCTTTGATGCCAAGACTTTCCAACTTCATGAGTAGTATTTTGTGAGATACTTTATCAAAGGCTTCGCTGAAGCCTGTGAAGATGAAGTCAACAGGTCTTCTGTTGTTCCTCGATTTGACCCAGCTTCCTCTTGCAGTGAGGAGATTGGAAGGGCATCAGAGGTTTCTTCAGAAGCCGTGCTGTGCTCTGGATGACATTTTGTCGTTTTCCAGATATGCCATAATGCTTTTATTGATGATTCTGTCCGGTGTCTTGATTAAGGTACTGGTAAGACCAATAGGCCTATAACTTGAAGGGCTTTGCCTTGATCTTCCTTTGTGGATGGGTTACTATGGCGTCTTTCCAGTCACACAGTAACACTCCATTTAGGAGCGAGCTTGAAGATAGTGGTCAATCGGCCGGCTGTGTGAGCTGATAACACCTTCGAGAAGCCTTGGATGAAGATTATCAAGACTCATTGATTTTCCTACGTCTAGTTTCATTAGGCAGTTGAGCAGGATGTCTCGGTCAATGTCAACGGAATCTATCCCACATTCCTCTGATGCAGCCAAAGCCCATCCTATAGACAGTGACGACTCCTGTGTAAAGACTTGGGAGAGGTAGTCTGCTATTGCTTCTGCTTTTTCTTGATTTTCTCCGATTGTATCATTGTCAATAGTCAGGTTTGTTTTATTCCTGAAGTTCATGTTCAAGAAAATTTTCTTAGGTTGTTCCCCTGCATTTTGAGTTAGATGTTCTTTCCAACTTCATCCTTGATTATTGGATCGCATTTATATCAGCTTTCCAAACGTTTGGTCGAGCTGCGGTTTTGGCCCTTGATGCAGTTACTGTGAACTTAAAAGTGAGGACAGCATGATCACTTCTTAAAGGGGGAAGATGTTGTATGCAATCAACTTCCCCACCATGGTAGAACGCTAGGTCTGGAGTTGAGGAGGAGCGCTGCGTGTCATAGCGCGTGGGCTTAATGACATGTTGGACTAGGGGCAGCGAAATGCTAGATTCCAGCAGTTTATGATCAGAGGAGTTGACTGAAGATGGAGTCGCAAGGCTCGTTCAGTCAACTGTTGGGGCATTGAAGTCGCCGACTGCTAGACTTTGGCATTTTGAAGTCCAGGAGACTAGCTTCTCCACTAGGAATTCATCTGCACTGCAGTCAGGACTGCGGTATATAGCAATGAGGTCAATGTCTTGGCATGTGTATTTAAGTCTGCAGCGTAGAAGTTCGCACGGTTCACTTTCGCGAGCGAGAGCTTCGGTGATACGCAAGGCTGAGCTTTTCTTGAGGTAGATGACAACGTCACCTCCTTTGCGGGTTAGTCGGTCCACCCTAAGCACTTCGAGATTGGGAGGTTAACTTCGTCGTCAGTGACGTCGGGTGTGAGTCATGTCTCTGTGATGATAATTACATCCGGGTTTCCGGAGTCTACCATATTAAAAAGCTCAGTCTGTTTGTTCAACAGGCTGCGGGTGTTTGTGTAGGAAACTGTCAATTCAGTTTGGAGCTTCCCCGGCCTACCCACAGAGGTTTCGGGATCATCAAACTGCGAACTGTGATAATCAGAAAACCCTTAATCTTAAGGTACTTTTCGCTGTTTTGACGTCGTTGACTTAATTTCAGGGCCTCAGACTGTCTTTTAACACGTCTGCTAGGCATAGGTCGGCACGGGCATATATGTCTGGTCCTTTAAGAATTTGAGAGTTGCTCAAAATGGCATCCCTCTCTTCTTGGGAGTTTAGTACGACTTTGAGGAGACGCACAGGCTAATTTACTGTAGGACCAGGCCTTTGGCCGATCCAATATACACTGTGTATTGTTATTCCTGATACTGTTTTTGGCAGTAACTTATCTAAAAGGGGCTTCACCAAGCTAAGGTCATGCTCGAATCTGGCCTTAGGATCGGAGGCCAATGACCCTTCCACTTTGTGGAGAATGAGCGACCTTTCACAGAGATCAGGTTTGCTTGGCGTGGCTTTCTTGGTCTGCGGCGTAAATGTCTTTTTGTCCTTCACTGGCATTGTAGTCGATGTTTAGTCCTTATCTCGCTTTTTGCGAGAGACTGCACCACGCCATTCGCTGGCGTCCTCCTTACTAATCTTAGCCGATTTTTTCTGCCTGCTACTTACCGGTGTGGATAAGGCTTGATCTTCCAGTCCATGGACGACGTGAGTTGCAGGTTTTCGACCCTTGGTACGACTCTTCTTCGTGGCAGTCCTTCCGTTACTGTCACTGGAGGGCTTATCCGGTATATTGGGGCAGCGTTGGTGTCTGGAATATGGTGGGTGCTCTTCTCTGCTGAAGAGCAGTCAACTATTAACAGAGACGCATCACGAACATGTACTGTTTTGTCGATGAGGCTAGTCACGTCATCGGTATCTGAGCAGTAGTCCGTCTTTTCCCGTGTTGGGAGACCCTTGCAGTCCATGAGCTTTAGATCCCCACTGAGAGTGGCAGTGACTTCTGTTATATGAAATTTAGTCGTACTACAGCCGTCGTTGCACGACCAGTTCGCCAAAGATTTGCAGCATTGCTTTTATGCTGCAGGAGTTAGGTTTGTGCATATGCTGAGAAACTATCTCTTTCTGTTATCACATCCCATTCCCCCATCCACTGGAAATTTACACAAAACCCTTCCTCAGCGGTTCCTTTGGATCGGCATGCTTTTTGGAGCAAGTATGGCAATAAGATTAATACATGAATTTATATATAACCTCTATTAATCAGTGATAAAAAGCCAGTGAGTGCACAAAAATAAATATAAATATATGACTATTGAGTTATAAGAACACGACATCCTACAATTCAATATACTTAAAACTGAAACATAAACTAACTTCAATCAGAATAAACTGATTTAAAGTTATATGTAGACTTTTGGAGCGTATGACACAACAAAAGCCAGATCTAAGCAAGAGCGTGTAAAATTCACTCCCTTTTTCTAAGTTCGCGCGGTAGCGGTGTTCCTATGGGCAAGTTATTCCAGTCGTCCATAATCTAGCAAGTGGGATATCCATGAACTGATTATATGCGGTGACGAAGTATTGTTCCGCTCCGCTCATCGGGATTTTTCAACAATTTGAGAAATGTTAGTTATTGATCATCGAACTGTTCCAGTTGTTTAAGTCTGCGAGTCACCGCCATTACGAGATCGCTTGTAGGCTGACGATTTAAGGGCATAATCTCATGGCAGATGAGGCTGAACTCTTGGACTATGAGGACGAAGAGCAAGAGACCGTTCAAGAACCAAGGCCCAACGGAGAGGCACCTGCTAAGAAAGGTGTAAAGGGTGCTTATGTCACCATCCACAGTTCGGGTTTCCGTGACTTCATCCTGAAACCAGAGTTGTTGAGAGCCATCGTTGACTGTGGCTTTGAACATCCATCAGAAGTCCAGCATGAATGTATTCCCCAGGCGATTTTAAGTATGGACGTTTTATGCCAGGCAAAATCCGGTATGGGAAAGACTGCAGTGTTCGTAATTGCCACACTACAACAACTCGATCCTGAAGGAGAAGCCAACACAACTGTCTTGGTCCTTTGTCACACAAGAGAACTTGCCTTCCAAATAAGTAAAGAATATGAACGCTTTTCCAAATACATGCCTAAAATCAAAGTACGTTACACACTACTATTGAGTCATCCCCTAGGTAGGGGTATTCTTTGGTGGGATGCCTATACGCAAGGACATCGAAACCTTGACGAAATCTCCAGTTCACATCGTTGTCGGAACTCCCGGTCGTATTTTGGATCTTGTGAGAAGCAAAACACTGAAGCTGCAAAACGTGAAACATTTCATCATTGACGAGTGCGACAAGATGCTGGATACGCTCGGTAAGACTGTTTAAACTTAATTGACTTTTCCTAGATATGCGCCGTGATGTACAAGAGATATTCCGCATGACTCCGCACCAAAAACAAGTTATGATGTTCAGTGCAACAATGAGCAAAGAAATCCGTCCTGTATGCAGAAACTTTATGCAAGACGTACGTTGTTGCAATGTCTGGCGGAGTTGTCTTGTTTCGATTCACATTCCCACCTGAGCTGGTCTAAACGTTCACCAAGATGACTTGCATATCAACATAATCAGAGACAATTTGTCACATGATTTGTCCTCACGGACAGTGAGCGTATCAGCTAGCGTTTGCTCTGGGACCTCCGAGGACTCATCGTCCAGTCGCTGAAATATGCCAGATGGTCGCTTGGATGTGGTTCGCACTCGCTTGCCAAACACGTTCGTATGGGCCAGGTGGAGAATCAAAATGCAGGCAGTTTGACTATTTCTTAATGCTTAATGTTTTGTCCGTTTAATACGCCTGTGGTTTCTCATCGCCCACTTGGTACTTACCACATTTTTGTTTTTAGCCGTTAGAAATCTTTATCGAAAATGACTCCAAGTTGACCCTGCACGGCCTCCGGCAACACTATGTTAAGGTCAAGGAGAACGAGAAGAACAGGAAATTGTTCGAGCTCCTTGATGAGCTACAGTTCAACCAGGTAGGTTACCATTCAAATGATGTTTCGCCATGCTAATACCTATGTGGGCTTACGCCTGAACATATGCGTTTAGATATAAATTTATTCTGATACATTTCTCTAAAGGATGTTTTATTGATTTAGGTGATTATCTTTGTCAAGTCAGTGCAACGGTGCATGGCACTAGCTCAGTTATTGGTAGACCAGAACTTCCCTGCTATTGCGATGCATCGGAATATGGCACAAGAAGAGCGTTTGGAACGTTATCAAGCCTTCAAAAATTTCCAGAAACGACTGCTGGTTGCAACTAATCTCTTTGGTCGGGGTATGGATATTGAACGTGTCAACATAGTCTTCAACTACGACATGCCAGAGGACTCCGATACATACTTACATCGAGTAGGTCAAGTGATTTCAGTTATTTAGTTCTATTAAGGTTGCGCGAGCCGGTCGATTCGGAACCAAAGGATTGGCTATAACATTTATATCAGATGAGCTGGATGCAAAAGTTCTCAATGAAGTACAAAACCGTTTTGAAGTCAATATTAGCGAGCTTCCAGATGTTATGGAAATATCCAGTTATATGGAAGATCGCTGAGTAGCTGTATTTACCTGTACATTGTTTTCAGTCCTGTCTATATTTCAAATGCAAATTTTCATCAACTGAGTGTTACTTATTGTATGGAAGTAATTAGTATCAAGTGAATATTGCGGCCATGGGAGTACTAGTTCGGTTTTCAAATCAACGCCTTTCTGCACACCCGTGAACCTATTGGTATTGAATTTGGTTAGACATGCGGAACATATACTGCTCTTAGTCTTCACGGAGGAGAAAAGTCGTCACAAGCCTGGAGGAATCAGCATTATAAAATGGTGCAGATGTCCAGGCCGTTCACATGGGCGATCGTGGATGGATCTCTTCGTTTTACTGTCTCCATCATCTTACTGAATACAGAGTTACAATGTCTGACTTAGAAAATTTATGCAACTGTAAAACTACATGTACAGCCTGAGATTTACAAAACTCGGAAGTAAGTCATTTCAGTTTTAAAAACCAGTTAGGAGGGTAGTAGTTACGGGGTTTGGCACGAAAGTATGCGATTCAACCAATAAAATGATTTACCATATCTAATGAACTGAGTGTTTTTTGTCCCATCCAACGGTTTCGAGTGGTGGTTATGTATTGTGACCTGTGTAGTATGCTAGGGAACTAGATTTTAGATGAGGTTCACAACACAGTATAATCATAAAGTAGACAACAACTGTTGTTGCTTTTTGTAAGGACGATTCAGAACACAAAACATTTGGCAGTGCTCTGATAATGTGCCTAGTTATACCAGCTCTAGCCAAGTGAACTAGGACTGATGTTTGAATAAGTTTACTATTAGTGATGTAGCTATATAAGATAAAAAGTGATCCAGAACGACCGTGTCTTCGCTTTTTGATGGTGTTCGTCGCTTAGGAAATATCATCCATTAACCTAAACGAAAATCACGTAACTGTACTCTGTGTTTCCGTCTATGGTGCTAATGTCTGTCTGTCCGTCCATTGACATGTAATGCACCTTAGATTAGCACAAGTACAGTTTTATTAGTAGCGGTAATAATGCTTTATGCATAAGTGAAGAAGTCTTCACATGAATAGCATTTAAGTTCCAAAGTTTAGTAAAATCATGTGATTTTGCAACGCGAGTGGAGGATGACCAGTTTGAGGTACTTGTTTCACACATGTATAGGGGGAGATATAAGCTCTCATCATCTTGAATATGTATGCAGTTGTGTAATGCTTATATGAAATAAGTCAACGGAAGAATCGTTTGGATCGATGGCAGGGGCGGAAATGTACAATTGTCAGCTTCGCATAAACGTAAGGGTTATTAGGATGCGCAAATTAAGTAGTGGGTATACTGAAGAGTTCAGCCTAAGTACTAAGTTTGTATAGATTTGTACCAATGAGCTAAAAAGATGACCACTTGAAGTCGAACACAGTCAACGCTTATATTTCTTGTAGTTATATTCCCATAGGCTGATTATTTTATACTCATCTTGAAATACTGTTCCACCCATCTAGACTTATTTTTAGTACAGGGAGTTCCAACGACGTATGGTGCTCAGGTGTATTCGTCTTTTGAAAACCTCAAATATATCGTCCCTGGTAAACTATACATCACTGGTGTTGTTCGAGTTTTGTTGCAGTCATATGAAGCTGATATGTAGAGACTGCACTGGTTGTGTTCTTGATCGGAAGGGATTCTTGTCGTTTCACATTAGGCTGGTGTACTTGATGTCATAAATTCTGGGACATATAAACTTAAATTTATGAAAGATATTAACAGTGAATACTTGTTCACAAGGTTTTATTCAAATGAAGTGAAAGCGGTAATGTAATTAGTGTTAAAAGTTTAAATCAGTAATTCTATGCATCAGTAATACCACCAAATAAATAAGGTGCGTCGGTGGCACAGTGTTTAGGACTCTCGCCGATCATGCACATGGTCCGGGGTTCGAGCCCACGCCGGCGCACACTGATATCTATGGTCGGCCTGCAAAATTTGGGCTACCGATATCCATGCTGAAAATTTCATACTTGTACCAAAAATACAGTGTGGAATCAAGCTGTAAATCAAAAAATAAAAAAAACATCAGAATCCCTACTTTGGATTCTTAATAACTTTGGAATCCGGGTGGCATTTGAACTGACTGAGAAAAACTTCGTTGGCTTAGGGTCGGACAGAAACGGTTAAGAGTAGTAATATCATTTATGAAGTACCATGTAGTGACTTTGGGATTAACTACACAGTTTAGACTAGAGATCAAGGTCAACTAGATTATTGGAACATATGAATTTGGCTAGACCTAGAGTAACTGACCCTGAAATAAGTAATCTGGAAAGAAGTTCGGCGATAGCAGTGCACCCATGTAATCATTTAATAGGGTGAAGTAATTTAAAAGCATCAAAGAGTTGTACAGTTAGGTGGGAGAGGTTAATCGGGTCAATGTCAAACACCTAATCAAATTGACTCCATGGCTATTTTGGGTATTTGAAAAATCGCCATCAAAAATAACAGGGAGTGGGGGTGTATAAAGCCTTCTACCGAACCTTGTGAATACACTGACATGACTATGAGCAATAACTTATTTTGAAAGTATCATTTAAATAATAATACTGTGTTATGTTAAATAAAGTAACCTAACATGGGATTATATTCTACAGCAGTGCCCGAACCTACTGTTACATTCTTCGCGTTTGTTAGTATGATGCTTGAAGGGGTTTGTTGCGCAATTGAAACACTTCCGATTACCAATTTCCGTGTGAGTGGTTGGGCAGTTTTTGAGGGGAACCGGTTAGGCAGTGAAATCAAACATTTAGGCCTTGTAAACATCAATGAATTCAAGGGGATTTTCTAGTTGACTGCGAAGTTATTCGAACGATACTGATGTTACATTCGATTGAACCTGTCATTTCGCCTTTAACTGTCGATTAGTTTCTGTGTGCTGGTCGAGTTGCATTGTCGAAAATAGGATTTTCAGGGAAGAAGAGAGCGGCCGCTGTGCTGTGGTGTGATCGAGCATCTGAATACTCTCTTCATACCATACCATGGCCGCCAGGTTTGTTGGGTCAAGCTGGCAGTGCGGCCAAAGCTTAGGTCTAGTAGTATGAATGTGACCACATAACAATCATGAGCGTTATTTCTTTTTGAAACCAACCGGAAACGATTTCGAAGCCGTTGAAGCAGCGTAATTAACTAGTTCCGTAGATTGTTACTTGATAATTTTTTCGTTAGTATTGCAACAATATAAGATAAATTAAAAGTGAAAAAGTACAGTTTCTTTAAATTAATCAGCAGCAATAAGAATACCTGAGATGATAGTAACAATAACGACAATGGCTTTATTCTCTAAGGTACATTTGATAGCGTGTGGAATTTATAGTATGCATCTAATATCCTCTTAACATTAGATAGTGAGGGGAAAAATCATTAACATCAATAATAATGTCAATGAAATATGTATGTAAAATTGAACAAAATTTAAAAAGTAGTGACAATAGGTTGGCAATAGGAAGAATAAAAAGTGTTGTTTATTTGGTGTTTCATGTCAAAAACTCCTCTCATCACACAAAATATGTGCCAACAAAAGTATCGTTGACCTTCTATATTTAGTCGTTCGAGCAAAACTCTTTTATTACCACTTTCACTCCTACCTGATGGGATGCAAGAAGAGATTTGTGTACAAAGATCGTACACAAAGTAGAAGTACATGATATTCCCCAGTTGCTTGCACGATTTCAAGTGTCTATCTACAACAGTATTATTGGTGTCCGCTCATGATAAAATCCTAAACCAATCAGATTCCAGCAAACCAAAACTTGAATATCAATCTGACGCTCACTAGCCACCTACAAACTCATTCAGAAACAAGCTGTGTAGGCTAAAAGACCCGGTGGACCCATTTAAACAAAATAATATAATTTACAAAATACCCTGCAATGACTGTGAGGTTAACTACATAGGTCAAACTAATAGGTCAGGGGTAGTCAGATTATCAGAACATAAGAATTTAGCTAAGGTAAGAATGTTTGACCCCAAGAAGATAAGTAATTTAGAAAAAAGCTCAGCAATTGCACTTCACGCATTAACGCACAACCACACAATAGGGTGGGATAGGGTTGAGATTCTAAGAAGTAATTTGTGTAGGTGGAGAGAGAGCTTGATTACTGAATCCTGTTTAGTTCACCGAGTCTACACGCAACACATGCAACAGAAATGACTCAATGCAAATACCAGGAATATGGAAGATATTATTACCGCTAGTCAAATCAGAGGATGATAATAAATAGTCACAAAATTCTATTTCAATTCAAACACATCACAACATTCTAACAAGTAACTTATTATGACTATAAAAACACTCGTCTTATTTCCCATCTAATTGTAAATGATCAATAACACTCGTATTATTATTTCTGAATGTACATTATCACATACTGATTTTTATTCAAATATCTGGTCAATTCCACACATGTATATAAATGAAAGAAAAAAAGTTGTATCGGTAGCTTGATATGATTATGAGAAATAATTTATGCTCGAAAGGTGTTCATCAGTTAATATTACTGTGTAACACTGCGTGACTTATCAAAATAAAATCTTATCCATAATGGAGTTATGCTCTACCACAGTGCGCAAGTATTATACTTATATCAATAATCATTAAATCAGTTCATTTCCTGATGTGGTACGAAAAATGTATACTTCACCTACAATGACTACCCATTAAATCATAAATTAGAGTGTGACAACTCGAACTGTTGCACTTGTGGGCAAAGTTTTGTGTTGAAATCATCGTCAGTCATATCCACGATAGTAATGAAGTGAACAAGACAAGTGGGGTTAGAAGTAATATTAGCTGTGACAAAATACAGTGTACATTAAGAAGCTCATAAGCCCTAAATGAATCGTATAATTTGCAAATATCTTTCTTGCCTTCATTATTTTATCGGATTCTTCTAAGTCTGTTGTCACCTTTTCCTTGCTTCTCTACTTCTTTGACTTTACCGTTGACACACAAATTAGTATTGTTTGTAGCGAGACAATAT